AAACATGTGGTTCCTAAACGAACTACACAAGGACTGAGCAGATGTTTGTGTTTGTGTTTGTGTGTATGGGGGGGAGGGGGGGTAGATGGGGGTGAGCACAGGCAACTCTCCATCCTCAGGATCACCTTCTGCTGAGGTGGACACATTTGCTGCCTTGTCAAAAACCATCCAGACAGAAATGGAGCTCCAGAGGAGGTGTGTCGCTGCCAGGCTCCTTTTCTGTTAATGCTTTCAAGGAAGAAAAAAAAACAACAACCAAGAAATAAAAGCAATGAATTCAGAATTCAGAAGTCCAAACTTTGAAGGTCAACCATTAGTCAATATCCAGCAGTTCTTCTGCAAAAACAACATCCCGATCTTCACATTAGAACAGACCCAGAGCAGGGTTGGACTGAAGCGTGAAGTTCTGGTTGAACGTTTTCAGAGGAACGTGATTTAAATAATCACCATTTGTTTTTTTTTTCTTTTAGTTACTGACTGATTTCCTGCGACTGTTGGTGATGAACGGGAGCGGAGGCAGTAGAGGCATTGGCCGAGACAATCATTTACTGAAATCATGGGCACTAAGGAACCAGAGTTATAGATATTGACTGTGTAGATGTCAAAGATGATTAAGTCAGGAATTCCTTCAGTGAAGTGACGTGAAGGCCTGGGCTGTAACACCAACATCCTGCCTCTGATTACATATGGAGTAGCTGGAAGGACACTGGAGCCAGAGACATATTTATCCTCGCTGTTCCATATTTCCTACAGTCTGAGAGATTGAAAACTACAACACAGCATTTACTGCCTTCTATACAAATGTATGAGCTGGAATCTAGATTGAAAAGACAGATGTATCTTTATTCTGTCCGATTTAATTTTCTTTTTTTTTTTTAAATGAACATTAAACTGGAAATGTTGACACCAAACAGCGTGATGTCATGTCTGCAGGAAGCTCAGTGTTGATGGAGTTTTTTTTTTTTCTTTCTGCATTTGATGCCAATGTCTATTTTTAATATATTAAGAGGAATAAAGAAGATTATTCCAAGGCGGGAGATAGAACATATCAGTGGACGACCTGGAGTCAGACAGGAGAAGAAGGTTCACAGCTGAAGCCATAAAAAAAAAAAGACTATGATTTAGTGGAACCATGATCTGTTGGTTCAGATCAGTCAGTAGAATCACACACTTTCCCTTTGATTTCCATTAATACTAAGCACCGATCAGCAGACGATTTCCCGTGTTTTCAAATCCGATGATTGACATTTTCCCCTTTGAAGGATTCAAGTACAAATCCAACAGTGGATTCAATGGATTATGGATGTTCCTTATTAAGGACAAAATCAAAATAATTCTCATTAACACAATATAATATACAGACCACATTAAAAAAAAACTAAACAAAACTAATAACATGAATAACATCAACTATTATTTCTACCTCCTACAAGAACACGATTTGATCCAGTCAAGTGTTGACTCATTATTACAACTAGTAGCCATTACACACACACACACACACACTGCCGCCCCTACGTTAGCGCACCAGCTGTCTGCGTCTCCTGCTAACCTTTGACCTCTTTAACGACACTGAGGTGTTTGCACCTGATGACGTTGATCCGACACTAAGGTCAACGTCTGCGATGGAGTGAAGTTTGACTTTAAAGACACGCACGCAGACAGAAACCGCCACAACGTCCACTGGTCCACAGCTGCGTCAAACCAACTTCGAGCCACTAACGTCAGACCGACATCGTGAGAGGAGGAGGAACTGGACGCGTTGTTGTTGTTCTGTGAATGGATGTGAAAAACGCCGTACTGTAGATCCATGCTGACACACACACACACACACACACCCCCACTCCCTGGGTTTTTTAGTGTAACAACACCGCTACCACAAAGAAAATTAATTTTGAACTAATTAAGCTGACATCCAGTTTTAGTGGCGTACAGAATAAGAGACGCTATTATCATTAGCTTCTAATTAGACCAAAGGACTACAGCTTTCATTTGTTCCTTCCTCGGCAGCAGATTGTTGGGAGACGCAGGTCAGAATCCACAGCAGCAGAACAAGACTGATCTCCTCTGCGGTGGAGCTGAGTCCAGGTTTGTTACGTTCACTGTCCTGGATTTTACTGACACTCACACTTTTTTTTTTTTTTTTTAAATCGCAGATGTGAATTTGGTTCAAACTGTTAGTGGAGCTCAGTTAGAGAGTTATTTAAAAAATAATAATGAAAAACATGATTTTTAATTAGCACCTCGACCTCATCACTGAAAAAAATATGGACTCACTTTATGCACAGAAAGTGGCAAATATTGTCCTTTTGGTTAGGGTTGGTGTGGGTCCCTGATTTCCATCATTTGTGAATGTGTGTGTGTATGTTTAGTATTGGTATAGCTATACACGTGGGGACAACATTTTGGTGAAAAGTGGGGACATTTTTTTTCAGGTAACCACTAGGACACAGGGTATTTTCAGTTTATTTAGGTGTTGACATTACAACTAGGACGAGATTAGAGTTAAGATAAGGATTAAGATTATGTTAGAGTAAGGGGTTAGGATATGAATTATGTATGTGAAGTACTCACAAGGCATGAAAACCAGCATGTGTGTGTGTGTGCCCTTATGTAAACATTACCAAAATGTCCCCATAGGGTCAAATCATAGTGTATAGAACTGAGACACACACACACACACAGGCAGATGCGGTGTGTGTGTGTGTGTGTGTGTGTGTAAAGATGGGACATTATGGTGAGTCCTTGGTGAAGGAACAGTAGAAGTGTGTGAAGTGGAACATGGAGGAACAACATCCTTATTTTTCTGACTCTCTTTTCTCTCCTTTTCTCCATACGACTCTGACCTTTGTGACACTGAGGTCCATTCATGACGCTCCCTGACCGCCACTCATTATGTCTTCACATAAACCAGAGCCTTGAAAATAAAAAAAAGGTCCAAGGTGGAGAGACTGAACCTTAAGGATAAAAGAACCGAGGTGTATTTATTTATATGTTTGACACTGATTAGTTTTTCTTTCTCTAAAAGTCGATGTCCTGGTGTCGTCTGTGATTCTGACCATGAACGTCACTCATTTATGTCTGAATCTTATTTACTTTTACAGCCATTCACTTCATGTTTCTGTCCAAAACATGGACTGACTTTCATACAGTTTTAATGAAGTATAATTCAAGGCTGCATCACAGGCATGTACAGAAATACTGATGTGAGGCAGGGGTTTTTTGGGGGGGGGGGCAACATATAGCATTAGTGTACGTAATAATTTAATTACGATTGGGGCTTTTCTGGGGGTTTTACTCCGACATATGAACCCCAGGTGTGGGTATACGTGCTGTGGTACACAGGGGGCACACACACACACACACACACAAGAATGAAGGTTAAAATGGCTTTAACGTGTGTGTTAATTCACGACACACATCACCGACAGTGAGACTGGTGACCGGGGGCAGTGAGGGTGAGGAGGGTGAGGTGGGTTTTTCAGCTGCCGGTGCTCTACCCTGATCCTATCGACCGCGTCTCCACGCATTGTTGCGATGGAGCCAAGGAGAAACAAGCGCCACTCGGGCTGAGGCAACACACACACACACACACACACACACGGGGGTATTTTCACCTGCTGCACCGGCTGCAGCGGAGAGGCAGCGGATCTGTCGGACTATGACTCCCGTGAAGCTGCAGAAAGCCCCCCCCCCCCCCCCCCCCCCCCCAAAAAAAAAAAAAAAAAAAAAAAAAAAAAAGACCGTGCACGCAGTTCCAAAGCGATGCAAAAACGCAGAGGACCAAGTTAAACCACTTACTGCTGCCGTTAAACCGTGTCGCAATTGATGCAACATTTTGGACACAAGAGACACAAGAGACACAAGAGACACAAGAGACACGGCGCCAGGACTGAGGAGGATGTCCAACTCCTCAGCATCCCTGATGCTGGACCACAGGGGACAACATTCAGCAACTGTCCAGCATCACCACAACACACTGAAAACACGGTACCATGGCGCCAAGTTTCACCGGACTGCGCATCTCAGGCGGCCCGGTTCTCTTACCTTCATCCTCGTCCGACACCGTGGAGGGCTCGGCGCAGGGAAATAATCCCGAGAACAGGGTTAGAAAAACGAGCAGAAACAATTCGGACATGGTTTCGGAGAGCGGGCAATAAGAAGCCACTGCGCTTCCCCTGGTCCTGCTCCAGGTCCGGGTCCAGTCTCCCGCTCCTCCTCCTCCTCCTCCACCGGCAACACCAGGGCTGTGGAGCGCCTCTCACTCGCTGAGGTCCAGCGGAACCGGTGCGCAGAGCAGTGCAGCGGCTCCCCGGCTCCCCGACACATGCACACCACAGCTCCGCTCCGCTCCGCACAGCAGAACAGACGCACGGGAGGCAGCGGGAGGGAAGAGAGTGTGTGGCGCACGGAGGGACGGAGCACAGGCGGGGAGGGAAGGTGGAAGAAAGATGAAGAATGAATACGTCCCCAGTCTTCTCTCAGTGATTAAACGCCGCCGAGGTGGCGCAGCTCGTCTGAAAGGTTAGCCGTACAGTCAGTGGAGTGGGTGAGAGCCTGAGGTTGTGGAGGGGGAGTTCGAGAGGAGGGTCCTCAAAAAAAAAAAAAAAAAAAAGGGGGGG